TCTCCCTAAAATTTTAATAGTCTAAATGACTATTACAAAGCCTAATAAAGTTGTGGCATAATTGCCGAATTTGAACAAAAAAAAAAAAAAAATTTTTTTAATTAAAAATTTTTATGCGATAAACAAATTTATTTAGAATATAAAAATATTATTCATTAGTAGAATTTTGTATTATAATAATTTTATTAGTAAAATTATAATAAATACTATGATTTTTAAAATTCTACTATTAAATAATATTTTTATACTCTAACTAAATTTGTTTAGTATATAAATTATATTATCTCAGCATAATTAATTTAATTTTTCTTAAAATTTTAAAAAAAACTTAATTTTGAAATTTTAATTAAAAAATCCAAAATTAAGCATCTTCTTTTTAAATTTTAAGAAAAATAAAATTAACTATCTTCTCTTTAATTTTAAGAAAAATAAAATTAACTATACTAAAACAATGTATTTTTATATGCTGAACAAATTTACTTAAAATATAAATATATTATATATTAATGGAATTTTGACTTATATTTTTTTTTATAATTTTATTAATAAAATTATAAAAATGCTATGATTTTTAAAATTTTACTCTATATAAATTGATTTAATATATAAATTTATATATATATAATTCAAACTCAAACAGTTTGTCAAACTTTAGAATCAAATTCAAATCAAATCAAACTTAACTAAAAAGTTTAAGCTTAAATTCAAACCAAACTAAATTTTAAAAAAAGTTTAAGTTTGATTTGATAGAAACCGTACCCCAATATAAAGTTTTAGTAATTGAATTTTTTTTTAAAAAAAATACCGATACTTGATTTTTTGGTCTTATGTAATTAGTTGTATTACAATTTTTAATACAACCAAAATTTAATTTGCCTAGTTAATATAAAATAAATTTTGCTATTTTTACTTTTTTTACTGTATAAATAATTTGCAAATGTTTTTCCAAAATCTACATACGAATCATGAATTAAATAAATTTTAAATTAAAAAATTAATCTAGCCAAAATATAAAAACCAGAAAATTTGCTTTATCTTATTTTGAACCAAAAATTAAATTGTTTTAAATTAAAACTAATTTTTTTAAAAAAACTTAATTAAATTTTTTAAACCAAAATTAATTTAAAAAAATCAGGTCTTTTAACCATAAATTGGTTCAAGCAAATCTAAATCGGTACTATAACTAAAACAGTAAAATTGATTTAAAAAAACCAAATTAAATTACTTTAAACCAAAGATTAGTTCAAAAAAACTCAAATCGAATCACTAATTTAAAAATTAGTTTAATAAATAAAATTAATAAATTTGAACTCATGATGATACAGTATATGTTGTTTCTAAAATCAAATTTTTTGGTCACTGTATAATTCTGATGAAATTAAATAAAGCAATGATACTGATCGAACTCAGTAATTTATATATATAGTATGATAAGCGTCAGCTTCAGGATTAAAAATTACATAACTTACCACAAAATTACAAAAATTACGCAAGAATTACGGTAATTTTACATCCCTGAGTAAAATTGCCCAGGTGATAATTTTGCTATAATATAGTTGGCTAGTATTATCGCTTAATGCCGGCCTAGTTCTGATGAATTACGACCCTAAATTTTGGTTGATCCGCAGTAATTACTAATTACCAACCCTCCACATACATACGTACGTACATACGTAATAAACTTGATGCACTGATAAAAAATGCTAGTCAAATAATGATAAATGTTTAATACAGTAGATGATTCTGGAGATTTGGACCCTGCAGTTGTTGATATAGCAGAGATTTGCCGGTCTAATTAACGTATTAATATCGATATGATTATGATTGCTAGTTGGCCACTTTATTATTTACAGTAAAAAAAAAAAAAAAAATGGCGCATCTCTAATTATGTGTCATACAATTTATACATTTATCGTTATATATTTAAAATGAATGTATGAAAATATTGGCTTTTTTTATTGTTATGTAATTCAATAATTTACGAATATTTAAAAGGGAAAGATTGTCGGTTGTATAAATTTGATTGGCTCCTCAACATTTAATTACATAGCATGTGTAATGCATAAAATCATGCACGCTGTGATCAATTATTGTGGTAAATTCTCTTGTACGTACGTACGTACATTTTTCACATAAAGAGAATATTTAGTACTGTAGTAGTATTTCGTATTTTCATTGTTTGACATTTGGAAGCGGGTTGAGATAGTATTGCTTGTATATTTGGCCCGGTAGGCTGTTTTCCATAGCAGTAAGTTTGTCGTTTTCGAAGATTAATTCTTGTTGGAAAAAAGTCAAAAAAAAATTTTTTTTATCGAATTAACACAGAAAAATTGCTGTTCTTCAAAGATGGAAAGTCTTAGGTGCCAAATTGAGAGATTTGCTTTAGCGTGTAATCCACATTATACACATGAGCAAAGACAAGCAACACCACAAAGGCTTACATTTGATAATTTTGCGGATATTTTAGAGTATCTAAAAGATGACAGATCCTCACTTCATTCATGTCTTCTAGTGAGTCGAGATTGGTTTAAGATGGTCGTTCCTTTACTCTGGTATCGTCCATTTGCATATAAGCTAGAAAAGGAAAAAGCGGCATTAATCATAAGAACATATGTGTCATGTCTTGAAGAACAAGGAAGACTACGTTTAATGGCAGATGGCATCAAATTTCATGACTTGCCTAAACCATTTATCGATTATCCCAGATATCTTCGATCGTTTGACTTTGAACATTTTCGTCAAGCTATTGATGATTCAGTTTCAACTTTGGAAATTAGTAATCCAGCATGTGATATAATAACAACACTTTGTAGAGAAGTTCTTGGATATTCCCTTTGCAATCGATCATTCGGACTTCGAATTTTAAAAATTGATTTGTTAAAAGTAGAACTTTATGGACCTTTTCTGGATATCGCAACGATACCTGGAATCGAAAATGTTTTATCACACCTTCAAAGATTTGAATTACTCTATCTTTTTGAGACAGAGGATGAAACATCGAAAAGACTCACAAAATTATTTACATTAATGTCATCTTGTTCTCGAAATATACATAGTATTTCTGTAATTATTCATCGGATGAGAACGCATCTTCCAACATATTTTATTGAATCATTGGCACAATTAGTTCAATCACAAAACAAATTACGTGCATTATCACTTAATCAGTTTTGGAATGCGTCATCATCAGCAATAATTTTTGCAGCAATGTTAAAACAAGCAGAATCATTAATATATCTTCGTTTCACACCAAAAAATGAATATAATGATTTAATTAATGTTTTAAAATGCTGTACAAATTTAGAAACTCTAGAATTATTAGATCTTTCACCAACGAAAGATAACGATATGTCATATTTAAATATACCAATGAATATACTTAATATTAAAAAACTTTATTGTTATGATGATTGGGTAAATAGTGAAGATATAGTGATGACAAAAGCATTAATACTCAATATGTGTACAGAAAATTTAAGAGTATTAACATTAGAAAGTGCAATACCAGCATTAATGGAACTCATTGGCGAGTATTGTAGTAAAATTACCACACTTTCAATTTCAATATCACCAAATTATCTTCAAAATCTTTTAGAACTAATTTCACGACTTCCTTTAATCCATCTAACGATCGGTAGAACATCACGTAATAATACTGATAAATTCAACTTTACGTTAGAGATCCTTCAACAATTCATAATTTCAATTCCATCAACTTTGATTTCGTTTGGAATTAACTTTTTAATAGAGACAGAAAATTTAGCGTACTTATTACGAGAATTTCCAGTTCAATTAAAAGTTATTAGTTTATATGAAACAAAAATGTCGTGTGATGATGTATTATATGTTATATTAGAATATGCGATAGCAAGAAGAAGCCTCAAAGAACTTAGATATGAAATGAGAAAGAGCAGATGTATGACTTTTTTTTCGGAAAGTATGTTATCGTTAGCAAGAAGAATTATACCGATAATTAAGCAAGTTAACCATTTTGGAGATCCTATTTATGGTAAGTTTAGTATTCTGCTAAGAAGAAAGTTATGTATCTTTATCGAAATAACTTCTTTTTTTTTTTTTTTTATATTGAGCAGAAGATTATTTCGAAACTCACTACGATTACTAAAAGATGAATGGGAAGAATTGCTGAATTTTTTAAAATTTTTGGGATTAATTTATCAATTGTATAACCAATTATGCAATCACAAAAAAATACTAACGAAAAAATTTTGGATATTATTATTTGTAAACTATTTAGTTGGGCAAATTGATATCAGTAGTATAACGTTAAATTAGTAAAATGTTAATATTAATATGTATAGTTACATTATCAGTAGGACTGAGTGTATATTGTAGATTTAGGATTAAAATATTTTTCAATTATTTTGGTTTTTTTTTTTTTTTTTAAAGTCCTTTTTAACAATAATAGTAATAATAATAAAAATCGTTGTGTATTACGATCGAATCTCTAAATTTAAACCCTGTCCTACGTATATAGAGTTATATGTATTTTACTCATGATGCGTTGTAATGGTTAGAATTAATATATTCATCAATCTTATGGATATTTTAAAGGTTATATGATTGCGTAAAAAGGAGTGAATGAATGATCAAGAAAAAGGCGTGATATTTGATCATTTGTGAAACGAATAAAAAACGATTATGACAGTGTATTTTGACTTTGAATCGACCACTTAAAGAAATGTTATTTCAAGATTAAAAATGACTATCCCGTATTTTTATTATTAAATGATCTACAAATATTACACTTTCTAAATACATATTACATGCACAAAAAAGTTTGTAGAAATAAATTTTTTATTTATCGCGGGAACTGTGATTAATGCACTACTATCACTATCATTTTCATCAATCTATATACACATTAAAAGAAAAAAGACTTTGTCGTTTCAGACTTAAATCATGTCACGTAAATAAAATTTTCATTCAGGAAATAGATAGGCCTCATAAGAAAGATATCTATGTATACGAGAAACGAATTTTTACTTGACACTAAATGGATCCGAAATTCCGGAAACCTTATCATCAGCGACCAACGAGACTCGCACGACATACCACTCACCAGGTGAAAAGAGATTTGGATCAATAAGAAACGTAGTTGGTTTCTGGGATAGCTTTGAAGTCTTTTTTTTTTGAAATAAACATTGAATAATTAACAAGAAATATAAAGCAAATTATAACGAAATATTTACCATTGGAGATGGCCAAACATCGAGATAGGTTGGTTCCGGAATGGTTGGAAAAAGTTTATATACTTGAATTGAGATTTCAGCTTTACGTCGAGAAAAATTAAAAAAATAAAGTTAGTAAAGAATAAGGGTTGTATGAGTTTCTTTTACAGATCTGAAACTTACGATCCTCAGAAAGATTAGAACTATCCCATTTAACAGTTTGAGTTGAACCAATTGGATATTCCAAAGAATGTGTTGAAACATCCTGTGACATTGTCACTTTAATTTGCGGATTATTGGGATTGGTGACAGATATTGTTTCTGGCATGATTATAGCGAAAGTAAGTAAAGAAACTGTCAGAAACAAAGTTAAGATGGAGAGAAATAGGATAGAATGCCTCCTAAAAATAGTTGACATTTTTAGGAAATGAGAGTATAAGGCTTATAAATTTTTTTTTTAATGTTAATACTGATCACAATATTGACCAAAATTAATAAATATTACGCACAGGTAATCATTACATAATTTAGTTTATAAACTTGTTTCAAAACAAGTAAATTGGCTGAAGAAATAGCACATGAAAAATTATGCTACGTACGTAAACCTTTTATGGAACATTAATTGTAGGGATGGTAAAACATCGCTTTTTATGTTTTTTAATTTATTAATAGTAAAATGTTTTAAAACACGGCGTTGATAGATGAAGCTGAACTGTATACACTATTTCTTACATCAATCATAATCGCATCAATATTATTAATCATGACATCAATATCAATGCCGATTTTTTTGTTTTAAAATCATTTGTTATCCCTAATTATCGCTGTTCTTTTAATGCGATATATGTTTTATATCATTTGCCATCCCTAATTATCGCTGTTTGCAAATTGATAAAATTTAAAATTTGTAGATAACTGCATGCCCGATTGTCCGATTGCACGTACGTAATCGGTTTTCAATCTAAGCACAATAATAGCAGAATCACAAGATTTTGAAAAAAAATAATAGCGATATACCGCTAGTCTACGCGGAGTTTCAAATTGTGCTTACAAATTTGAAAAGCCCTTTTTTTTATTATTATTCAAACTATTTATTAGAATTTACTTAATTATTACTCTAAGTCGAATTACATTCAATTCAAACATTTAATTAATACACGTATAAAACTTTAAATGCTACCAATAAATTAGGGATGTTAAGTGGTGCGTCTGGTCCGGTCCGGTCCCATAAAAAGTCCGGTCCAGGACTAATTTGAAAACTAGTTCACCCCTTGTCAAAAAGTGGACCAACACTGGTCCTACCCTGAATAAATTTTTTATTACAAGCCTCCGTTATTACAATTTTAATGTATTACAAAACTGTTCACAAAAAAAAAAAACCGCATATATAATCACTATATGCCTGATACTAATTTTAAAATATTTTTTACTATCTCTGTGAGTTTTTAAATAGAGACTTGCACAGACCTTTTCATCTTCCAATTGGTTTTGCACTGCATTTATTATATGTTTAACAAGTGAAAAGGCCTGTTCACTGGTACCTGGGCAACTAGATAATCTTGACTATTTTAACAAGAGGTATTTATTTTAAATTTAAAAACTTGAACTTCCAATATGCAAGTATATTTACATTTTCATTAGGCATATTCAAGTATTTATCTAATATATTACAACCAATTAATATATCATTATAAGCTTGTTTTAACTAATTTCGAAAGTAATTATAAGAAAAACTAAGCTAATTTAATTTTAGATTATTTGACAAACATTATTTCTTTTAGAGCTGACTGTAAAATGTCTTATTTATCAATAATAATTGCTACAACAAAATTGTTATACTGATTCTTGATTTTGATTGGTTAAAAGTGATGATTAAAAAATTAGATCAGAATTATTTACAGCTACCTATTAAGTCTAATTCCGGCCAGAAATTAGTAAACAATTATGTAATGCAGGCCAAAATTTTGAAGATCCTCAGCCATTGGCCAATTAAAATTGAGGTGGCAATTTTGTTCAAAATTTGAGAAAAAAATATTTCAGCAGCTACCTGATCAAATTCGATAAAATTTTTATTTGAATTCTATAGATCCATAGAATTCAATTAAAAAAGTTTCATCGAATTTGATCAAGTGGTTGCTGAGATATCTTCGTTCAAAGTTTTTTTTAAAAACATTAAAACATCAAAACTAGAAGCTGTGCCAATTTTTTTCTAAAACTTGAGCGAAGATATCTCAGCAACTATCTGATCAAATTCGATGAAAAATTTTTATTTAAATTCCATTGATCCATCGAATTCAAATACAAAAATTTCATCGAATTTAATAGGTGGTTGCTGAAATAACTTTGCTCAAAGTTTTTTTTTAAAAAAACAAATTTTTCTATAATACAAGTATGGAAAATGTAGTAACTCCATGAGTTCTCGTTTATTTGAGTGTAAATTTTACAAAGCAAAACTTTAATATATTTTCTAAAAGTCTTTTATTGCGCAATGATTCTTTAGACCAAGCTTTTTAAAAGTCAGGGTACTATGAATTTTCATTATCAAAATAGAAGGTTTTCCTAAAATCTTAAGTTATCTCAGCAATTATCTGAGCAAATTCAGTGAAATTTTTTTTACTTGAATTCTATAGATCCATAGAATTCAAATAATAAAATTTCATCGAATTTGATTAGGTAGTTGCTCAAAATTTAATTTAATAAACGTTTAGTTATATTGAGCGAAGATATTGAAATTTGATGAGATAATTTTTTATTTGAATTCTATGGATCTATAGAATTCAAAGATATTTTTAGGAAAAATTTGGCGCAGCTTCTATTTTGATGTGCCGCGCGGCAGATCCTCGATTTTGATTGGCTAAGAGCAACGATCAAAAAATTAGGCCGGAATTACTCATAATTTTACTAATGAAATCGCAGCCGCCCATTAAGTGAAAATTGTTCCTGGGTCAATTTTACCATAATGCGAGCTTATTTCTTAAAAATTTCTATTTTTGTAATGAAAAAAAGTTAATTTTAGCCGAAAATTAGTAAACAATTATGCGGGCCAAAATTTTGAAGATCCTCGGCCGATAGCCAATCAAAATCGAGGATCTGCCGCGCATTTTTTGTGTGTGTATTGATATTACGATGAAAATTCATGATACCCACCTTGATTTTAAAAAGTTCGGTCTAGAGTGATTACTGCGTAATAACAAGACTTTTAGGGATTATATTAAAATGTTGTTCTGTAAAACTTTAGCTCAAATAAATGAGAACTCATGGAATTCTATATTTTTTCACACTTGCATTATAGGCGAGCGAAGATATCTCAGCAACCACCTGATCAAATTCGATGAATTTTTTTTTATTTAGGTTCATAAAATTCAAATAAAAACATTTCATCGAATTTGATTAGATGGTTGCTGAGATATCTTCGTTCAAAGTTTTAGGAAAAATTTGACGCAGCTTCTATTTTTGATATTGACATTTTTTTAAAAAAAAAAACTTTGAGTGAAGATATCTCAGCAACCACCTAATAAAATTCGATGAAATTTTTTTTATTTGAATTTTATGAATCTATGGAATTCAAATAAAAAAAAATTCATTGAATTTGATTAGATGGTTGCTGAGAAATCGGACAATCGGACATGCAGTGATCTACAAATTTTATCACACTATTCATCGCGTAATAAGTTGCACCACGACGACTTAACGCAAAAGCGTCATTTGGTTCATTACTAATGATTTATTTAAATCAGTCAATGATTCTTCATATCTATACGATCTTCTAATGCAATTGCATCATTTGGTTCAATTTCTAATGATTTTTTTAAATCTGCAAGTGATTCTCTATCCATTATGAGAAAAATTATTCCACGGTTTCTTAACGACGAAAATGCATGATCTAGTTCAATTTTAATGTTTTATTTAAATCTACGAAATTTTGTCAAACTCTAATGATTAGTATTAGTTGTGAACAGAAAATTTTAACCTATTTCTTGTTATCGTAAGATAAAATCATTGTTCATGTATTTGCTTTAATCTCCAGCTCCGGGACTCGTAAAGCTTAAAAGACAAACATGCGAATAATAAAAATGTTAAAAAAGTACTGATGAATGAGTTACGCAAAATGTATTAGATAATTATAATCATGGGACTCAGGATTCACCAAAAAAACATATATATTATATCACGAATTGGTCAATATCAAGTAAATCAAAAACAGCGATAATATATGGTAATATTTTAAAGTTTTATTTTTTGATCAAAAAAGATCTACTGTAGTAACTGGATTCGAATGACTTCATACCATTCGACTTAAATAGGCATTGTTTAACAATGCAGGTATTATGTCTAGAATAAATTATAATGACTAGATTTTACTGATTAAAATTGGGTTAAAAAACCGTTCCATCAGACTTAATAGCAATCGGTGGTCCACGAGTAATAGGACGCAAAGAAGCTGCAATTTCGCGACCGGCCTGCAATCAGCAAGGAGCGGTAATTAAAATTAAAAGGTAAACGACTATAAAACCTATCAAAATTATTATTAATTAAAATCCTAAAACGTACCTTCCAAGTTCCAGCTTCAAGCACTTGAGCTAAAGAAAGTTGCTCCTTTGATAATCCGAGTGCATTTCTAACTTCATCTCCAACTTTATCTAACAAAATAACCGTCATGGCACGCCATTCAATTACTACCGAGTCATCAGCTTCAAACATTGGTACGATTTCTGTTTCGGATTGAACACCAGATGGCAAAAAGTTTTGTTTATAATATTTTATACCACGTTCAACGTCCGATTGTTTCAGAGTTAGTACACCAATATCTACAAATAAGCCACCTATAATGTAACGATTATAAAATATAACGATTAAAATATTTAAAACCAAACTTTTTAATTATAAATAAATTAATTTTTAAATTTAAAATTGGCAAACCGTTTCGATACTCCGGTAATCCGGTCATCTGTTCAACTCCTTCAAATGTAATTCCTAATATCTTTGTCATTGGTTCAATGAGAGAATATGTAAGCCATTGAGAAAGTTTATGAAATGTTACGAAATGATCAGTGGAATCTGGACTAGCGTTTGGTGATTTAAGCACTTCACATGGCCAAACATCTCCTAATGATACGCCTTCTAGAGAAGTTCTTGTGGGTGGCCAAATATCCGAAAGTCCATAAACTATAACCGACCACAACGTATCAAGCTTTACAGAGGTTCCAATCTCATTGGTAGTAGAATTTGACAGTAAATAATCTAAGTAATTATCATTGAATAATAAAGTTATTAATCATGCAAATGTAGCATAACATATGAATACTATAACTTTTTTCTGTTTAAATACCTAAGAGGTTACCAGGTCTTGGTGGCTAAATGAATACTCATGATTACTAATTGGAATAATCGGATTGATTGAAATTAATTAATTATTAAAACTTACTACTCACCGAATTATCTTTACTTTTGAAATATATAGAGTGGCTTTTCAAAGCATGACCCAAACGACTAAGCAAATTAGCACGCCCTTCAAGTCCCTCTAAAGGATTATTATCACTAACTTGAAATGCCAGGCGAACATCTGCCACACTAATTCTTTCAAGTTTATCCGCTATATTATATGAACATGTTAAATAATTTTACGATAAAGAGTTAAAGCAAAATTTGTAAGCACGTACCATCAACTTGATGCAGTTGAGAATCTAAAGATGAAAAGGTTCCAGATTTAAACATATCTAATGATGCTATTGCCAATCCTTCGGATCGATTATAAACATATCCGGTTTTTTGTTCTTTATAGGACCACGCATTTCCAGCGCCAGCATCTAATAAAACGGAAACTACAAACAAATCTAAAAGTCTACGAGTTATTTCCAATTTATCACAATCAGATTTCCATTCATTTATAAGTGTTTGAACACGAGTATGTCCTCCAACGTCAAAATGACGCCAACGACCGTGTGGTGGAATATCGCTGATTTGCTTATAATCTCGTTTAATTAATGAGATTACTTGAGTGACCGCTTCTTGAAGTTTCGAGAAATCTACCTGAAAATGATTTAGAGAATTTGTTTTTGCTTTTTCATAAACGTTATTTGAACGTTCACGAACAGATCTGAGACTCTTAAAATATTTTATTTGTTCTTGCATGGTAAAGAGTTAACGGTGAGAAAAATTAATGTTGATCAATTTGAATCTGTATTAATACTGTAATAGCGATAGGCAAAATCGATCGAATCGATCGAAAATCTCGTTTAAATAAAAGTTCCGCATATATACATAAATTTCTAGTGATTATAGTCTGAAACCGCACTCTACATAATATTGGCTACAATAATTTCCTATTTGAAACATCGTTAACAAAAAAAGAATATATTTTTTTGTGAATTTTTCGGAAAATCAGAAGTTTAGCAAATTTTTTCTTAAAAAGTCTTTATTAACAGTTAATACGTATAAAGTTATACAGATAGTTATATAGGTTAAAAAATAGTTATACGAGTTAAAGATAATAAAAAAACTAAATATTGATATAAAATACAAACTATATATACCTGAAAATATATTGCTAAAAAAAAAAAAATTAATTTTTTGAAAGTTTAAATTCTAAGACCTTGTTTTTTGATATGTTCTGTTATTTCAGGGTGACACATGTTTTCCCAACTGTTATCATTTTTATATCAGGATGTTTATTTAACATAATCATCTGAAAATAGTGAAATATACCCATCTACTATTTCATATTTGTCTTTGTATTTATTTTCTATATATTCTTTAGCGGTCCCTATCATTCCCCGACAATCACTTCCTCGACAGACAATCATTTCCCCGACACATCAATTTCCCCGACAATTATTTCCCCGACACGATCATTTCCCCGACACGCTCATTTCCCCGACAATCACTTCCCCGATACCGATAAATCACTTTCCCGACGAATTACCTCCCCGACACAGACATTTCCCTGACAAATCCCTTCCCCGACAAAATTATTTCCCTCCCAGATTTTTTTGACAGAAACCTTCCTAAAACCAATATACTCAGCCAATCAAATAAAATTTCCAATTTTTACCATGTATTTAAAATATTTACTATATGCTTAAGTTTGGTTTATTTGCTTGACTTAGTCGGCAAATATTAAGCAATTAATTAATATACAGATGTTCGTCTCACCTAAATTTAAGATCCCTATGTAATATATGCTAAAATATAATAGTATCGAAATCTAAAAGTGAGAATACCAAGCTCGTTTTCACTTGGCATTGCCATTTTTAGATTCTTAAACTATTACGTAACAATTCTTAAATTGAATCCTGTGGGATTAATAAAGATAATGGCAAATAATGCATCCACATTTATAATATATCAAAATATATATAATGATACGTAATGCATTTAGGAATCGAATCAAATAATGCTAATGGCATTAAATAGCCGTGCGACAGGCAACTATTACATACTATTATATAAAGGATCATTTATAGATTTAAGTAAGCCATTAAAGATAGAACCACTTTATATAACAAATTAGATAATCGCAAGATGAAGTTTAAAAAAGATTAACTGTTGCGTACAATTTTAATATATCAATATATAGATTTTAATACGTATAGTAAATAGATACAACTTATAAAATCATGCTATTTCGCATTGTAGCAGAGTCTATCTATAGAAATACAAAAGTTGGTTATACTCTATTTTGACTAATTACAAGGTTGAAATATCTATAAATTCTAATGTTTATTAGGCAAGTATCTATTTCAAATGAATATATGATACTATTAGTAACTAGTTCTTCTAAATACTCTAAAAATTTCCCATACACACACATTTGGCTGCACAGCAGGTTCAAAATATTTAGGTTTAATAATACAAGTTACGTTGGCTGGAATATATCCAATCCCATTAGACAAATCACCTGTTCCAAATTTCAATAACAGATGACCATCCACTTCATATCTTCTTGCAGCATGTCCAACGTCTTTAACTCTACTCAACTTGTAATTAGTGTTTTATTTATCATCACTTGAAAATAAAAAGGTTTCAAAGGTAGGTACGCACTATTATACTAAGTAAATTTAAAGTTAGATGGTAATTCATAATCTTGAATAGTTAGTGTTTTTTTGTTTTTTTTTTACTCATGCACTAAATTAAAATTTTTATAATCTGAGTATTTATTTAGATAATAAAAATTTTTTACTCACACTATATTAGGCCATGCAAAATTAATTAATTGGTTTTATAACCCGGCCAGGTCAAAATTTGAGAACTTAATAACCAGGTGGGTTTAAAAAATTTTTTATATAAAATTTATAAAATTTTATATATGAAATTTAAAAAAAAAAGCCAGCCGGGTCTATTTATGTTATGAAAACCAAAGTAATTAAATTTGTATGGCCTTAATGTGAATTAAATAGTAATGTTTATAATCTGAATAGCTATAATATTATGAATATTTACTATTTAATACTTGTTCATGTTAATTAGTTAAGACAATTTATTATATATGTGTTTAATATAAACCATCCATATTATGAATATTTATTACTCAATTTTACCTTGTTCATGTTAAGTTAGTGCGTGAGCAAAAAAATTTCACTCTATTCAGGTTAATTTAGTGTGTAATTAAAAAAATTTTTTTGCTTACGTTTGAAATAAATTTTTAAATTCACTTTGTTTATAATATTTAGTACGTGAGTATTAAGAGTTTTAAATAATTATTCAGATTCATTATTTAATTTCACTTTATTCGCATCAATTTAGTACGGAGTATTAAGATAATTTATTATTTAAGTGTTTAAAAATAAGCTATCGCTATTCAAATTATGAACATTTACTATCCGGAAATAAATCCAGACGATTAGACAGTATATTAGGCGTAGTAATTAATGATATTTACTCATATTCTAACTTTTTTTTTGTTTTTATTGATTTACATTTAATTTGATTGTATAACGAACATATTTTGGAAGTTTTTTTTTCAAACTGATTCGTACCGTAAATTCTCAAAATAGCGGGCATGGGCGTTATTTCGAATTTGGCCCGAATTAAGATTAATTCGAAGCCCGCTATTTCGAGAATTTACAGTATAAAATTCGACTCTTTACAGCTTGTCATAAAGACGTTCATTCACTATATTGCATATTCCAGTCCACTTTATATATTAATTAAAAAAATTTTCAGTAATTTATTAATTTACCCAATTCTACAAGATTTCTCACATTTGCCCATTGAGAAAGTGGTAACTACTTCGGAATCTCAAAATATGGGTGCCACGGATATCAACTAAAATTACTACTATATACCTAAAATAACACTCTATACCATTATCTAATCTAAACCCCAATAGTGGAGGGCCACGAAAGAGGCTTGGTCCGAGTAATTTGCTGTTTGCAAATTGATGAGACTTTTGATAAAATTTGTAGAGCACTGAATTTTTTATTTGAATTCTATAGATTCATAAAATTCAATAAAAAAAAATTCCATCGAATTTTATTAGATTGTTGCTGAGATATCTTCGCTCAAAGTTTTTTTTTAAAAATGTCAATGTTTATCAAAAATAGAAGCTGCGCCAAATTTTTTCTAAAACTTTGAACGAAGATATCTCGGCAACCATCTGATCGAATTCGATGAAATTTTTTTTTTATTTGAATTTTTGAATCTATCGAATTCAAAATAAAAAAAAAAATCATCGAATTTGATCAGGTAGTTGCTGAGATATCTTCGCTCAAAGTTTTTTTTTTAAAAAAAAATCAAATTCCCTATAATACAAGAGTGAAAAAATGTATAACTCCATGAGTTTCATTTATTTGCGCTAAAATTTTACAGAGCAACATTTTAATATATTCTCTAAAAGTCTTGATATTGCACAGTAATCACTTTGGGCCGAACGTTTCAAAATCAAGGCGGGTACCATGAATTTTCATCATAATATCAATATCATATCAAAATAGAAGTTGCGCCAAAATTTTCCTAAAACTTTAAGTGAAGCAACCATCTGATGAAGTTCTTTTTATTTGAATTCTATAGATCGAATTCAAATAAAAAATTATTTCATCAAATTTGATTAGGTGGTTGCTGAGATATCTTTCTCAAAATAGCTAAACGTTTATTAAATTAAAACTTTGAGCAAAGCGAAGATGTCTCAGCAACCACCTAATCAAATTCGATGAAGTTTTTTTTTATTTGAATTCTATGGATCTATAGAATTCAAATAAAAAAAATTTTCATTGAATTTGATTCTATAGAATTCAAATAAAAAAAATTTTCATTGAATTTGATCAGATAATTGCTGAGATAACTTCGCTTAAAAAATTTTAGGAAATACTTCTATTTTGATAATGAAAATTCACGGTACCCACCCTAAGGGATTACTGCGCAATAAAAGACCTTTAGAAAATATATTAAAGTTTTGCTTTGTAAAATTTACACTCAAATAAACGAGAACTCATGGAGTTACTCCATTTTTTCACTCTTGTATTATAGACAAATTTGTTTTTTTTTTAAAAAAAAAACTTTGAGCGAAGTTATTTCAGCAACCACCTGATTAAATTCGATGAAATTTTTTTATTTGAATTAGATGGATCAATGGAATTCAACTAAAAATGTTTCATCGAATTTGATCAGATAGTTGCTGAGATATCTTCGCTCAAAGTTTTGGGAAAAATTGGCGCAGCTTCTATTTTTGATTTGATGCGACGATCAAAAAATTAGGCCGGAATTACTCATAATTTTACTAAAGAAATCGCAGCTGCCCATTAAGTGAAAATTGTTCCTGGGCCAATTTTACCATAATGCGGGCTTATTTTTTAAATATTTCTATTTTTGTAATAAAGCTAATTCCGGCCGGAAATTAGTAATGTGGGCCGCGGCAGCTACGGTTAATTATTTATGATAAACAGGCATTTAAAAAAAAGCTTTGAGCGATGATATCTCAGCAACCACCTGATCAAATTCGATGAATTTTTTTTATTTGAATTCTATAAATTCATAAAATTCAAATTAAAAAAAAGTTCATCGAATTTGATTATATGGTTGCTGAGAAATCGCATACAATCACGTACAATCGATTGCAGTGATCTATCAAAAGTCACATCAATTTGCAAACAGCGATAATTGCTAGTTTCTTGTGACTACACTCATGATTGTCCCAT